TCTCCGGCTGGAGGAAATTGCGCGTCTGCACCTCGTGCGTCCCGCTCCAGTTCGACACCGTGTGCAGGTCCTCCGGCAGCGGCGCGTACCGGAAGATCTGCGCCTTCTTGTGCTTCGCGTCGTCCGGCAGGGGGAAGGTGTAGTAGGTGGCGCCGCCGCAGAAGAGGAGCAGCGCCGCGTAGCCCGCGTACTTGCGGGTTTCCGCGTCGGCGGAGGAGGCGGGCTCCGGGGACGCGGAGAACCGGCGGAGGAGGCGGGAATGTGGGTGGTGGTGGGCGGGACGGAGGGTGCGCTTGAGAACTAGAGTTCTCAGCATGTCTGCTCTGCGCTCGAGTCTCAACAGACAACAGCAGAGGAGTGAGTGAGTGGCGGAACCTGGAAAAATTATGGACAAAACGGAAATGAGTGAACTATTTACTCTCTCTCTCTCTCTACCCAATTATACAAGTGCTGCCAAACATACTAAAATTTGAAAGAATTTATTTTTCATATACTGTATTTTTATTTTTCAATTAATTAAAAATTAGGCTATAATATTATTTTTATTAAAGGATTCAGTTTGATTTTTTAAGTTTAAAAAAATTTATTTTAATCTCTTAAAATATTTTTATCAGTTAAATTCATTCTTTGGTCAATATTTTGCACTAATGGTGTTAATTTTGTCTAAGTTCATAATTTTTCACATACCACTAAATTGATAAAATCAATGAGATAAATTGATAGAAAAATTAAATTAGAGACTAAATTGAAATTAAAAATAAAAATAAGGGATTAAATTGAATTAAAAATAAAAATAAGGGATAAAAATATATTTTAGCTTAAAAATTATTTAAAATAATTTGTAAAGTAATTATTATTATAAGAGTTAATAATTTATTATATAATAATTAGTAATTAAATGATAATTGAAGGTTAAAATAAACACATGAAATGGTTTTGAATGTATCTAAGTGAATTTTATAAATCTTTTTACAATATGGTCACTCTTCAACATTTGTTTATATGCTTCAGGGTTTCATAAATGTTTTGGCATCATAAAATAATGAAGTAAAGAGCAAAGACTTTTGAATGCATTGTTGTATATACCGAAAATTCTCTTTGTGACTAACATTCCTTTTTTGAACACTACACTTGGTTCAAATGCATTTGTGGAGAAAAGATAAACACTAAAAGGAGGATTGAATAATGTATATCAAAAACTCACATTTCTATAATGAATTAATAATGCTAGACAAATGAAGCAATAAGAGCAATAAGATGAAACACTAAGTATTTTTATATTGGTTCGTCTCAAACATCGAGACTACGTCTAGTTCTCAATCCAACTAGATTGAGTTTCACTATCTTTAAACAAAGATACAATTATTCTATTAACAAGTCACTTCTAGTTCAATCCTAAGTATTCTTTGACTTGTCTCTTCAAGTAACTATCAAAGTATTCTTTTAACAATAAGCTTCTTCAGGTCTAACAACTAAGTATTCTTTTATAAACAAACATTTTTAGGCTCAAAACAAGTATTATTTTACAAACAAGTCTCTTCAAACTCAACCTTATAACAATGGTTATAAAAGTTACTCAAATGTTGTGTTTGTCTCACTTAAACATTATACAACTAATTATAGAGCAATGGATGTATATAAGAAAGAATAGATTTTCAAAGAGTGTTTCGGTACATATGTATATGTATCAATTACAATTAGTATTTCTTTATTTCTTGTGCTTTGAATCTTCTTATATAGTAGTTTGGAGAAGATGATCGTTACAACATTTTGAGTCCAACTTACAATTTTGGTTTTGTCTATCTTCATTATTTTCCCTTGTGGTTGTAGGTAACCTTTTGACACATTTAATATGAGCATTAAATGCATTTCATCAAATAGTACCTTTTATCTTATAAAGGAGACTACTTATAAACTTTGCATACCAGACAGAGCTTCTAGAAACAATGTTAGTATAGAGTAGCTATAATAGTGACTTTATTTGTTTTGCTCCGTGATTTTAGGGATTTGATTATAGTAGAAAACATGATTTTTCTCTTTAATAGATTTGTGAGTTTCGAGACAATCTTTTGATTCAATCTATTAAAGAATACGACATTTAAAGCGAACTTTATCATTAGTCTCAATAAATAATAAATATTTAATGTATATGAGACAAACTATATATTTTGTCTAATTAATAATCTCATATATATTCTGTCTAATTAATAATCTCATTACGTTGGTGTCGTAAAGTGTCGCTGAATGAAGAAGGGCCATTGCTTGTAAATGAGGAGCAGGGTGGAAATAACAATAAAATAGACATGATTGATCTTTTGCAATGTCGTCCAAAGTCAAAGACTAAAGGGCGTCCAAAGCAAAAACGTTTAAAGGGTGGAAAAGAATTAAGCATCAACAAATAGGTGAAGAAATTTAGATTATGCAAACATCATGGTCATAACTTCACTACTTGTCGTGATAAGGAGAATTTGGAAGGAGTTTCTAACTTTGAAGGAGGAATAGGAAATGAAGCTTTGAATCCAATATTTCACTTATATTAGACATTATTTTATATATTTTTTTAACTCTATTATATTTTTGTTATTGCTGATTTTTTATTGTTGTTGTGATGTATGTTTTAAATTATACTGATGTTATAATACAGTGTGTATGTTCTTCATTTTTTAAGTATTCTATCTGTGTCTATATTATTGGTTTCAAATTATACTGTTGTTCAATTTTTGTTTCTGTTTAATGTAAAAATAGCTAATTAACCATAGTATTGGTCACTGCACTGTACACACACATGTCAATTTTTGTTTTTGTTTGTATACACTTCTAGTTACATAACGAAAACTACATATGTGAAAGTTGCTTTTCTGACTAAGCTATATACGTATTAAAAATAATAGAAAATTAACAAAAACTATAATATTAGAAGGTTGCTTTTTTTTTTGTTAAAATATATTTTATTATTATTTTGATTAGGAGTGAAAAAGACAAATGGAAGAACAAGATTAAAAATGTCATTAAATTAGTTTTAAAAATTAGTTAAAACTATTTATTATTTTTTACTTTCTCACATAATAAATATACACTAATGAAATTACGCATAATGAATTTTAATCATTGTTAATGTGTACCCAAAACATATATTAGAAAAACTATATAAATAATTATCTACTATTATAGAGTCCTTTTATTATTTTTTTAATATTAATTTTAGTTTTTTTAAAAGCGAGTCTAACTTTTTCCTAATAATATTTAAATAAATAAAACATGCTTTTTTCCTTGAATTTTTTACTCAAATAATACTATTTTAAAAAATATTTACCCAAATAGCAACCATGCAAATTTATTTTCCAGATTAGCACTATTTACTATTCATGTTCCAGAATGGGTCGTTCTGATTCCAAAACTATCCGTTCTGATTCTAGAACGAGCCGTTCCAGATTAAAAAATAACACATGACGAATGAATAAGAACGAACCGTTCCGGATTCAAAAAAATGCACATAAAAAGTGGAACCAAAACGGGCCATTCTGAATCCGGAACGGGCCGTTCTGACCTACAGATTCAATTTTTTTTCTCTAATTTTTACTTATCAAATAACAAAACTCAGAGACTACCATCAAGTGATTAAATTTATTGAATATTAACATTGTAAATATAACTAAATAAATTTATTAAAATTTAATACAACAATAAAGATCAATGGTGGTAGAAACTAATTATGTTGTTCTGTAATGTCTATATCTGTTTTAATCCTGTTGGACTTTGGCCACCCTTGAAAGTTCTATTGAATTTTGGATTTGGCCACAAAGTTGGACCAATGTATGTAGGCCAATAATCTTCATGTTGGAGTTCTCCAAACTGTCATTCGTATACTTTTGCAATTTGTTGTAAAGTATATATGAGAGATATGTAAGTTTGATAGTCGTGATGTGCATGTAAGCATGAAGCGAGTACATGCGAGCAAGGGATATGAACTTTTTGAAATTTGTCACAATCACACCACATTACATTTAGTCTACTGTAAATCTCCCAGCGAGTCATGCGAGCAAGGGATATGGACTTTCTGAAACTTGTTGCAATCATACCACATTTAATTTAGTCTTATTATAAATTTTTTAGCGGGTCAAACTTCTCTCGGATGTTGCGTTTTTTCCAACTTTGTGGCCAAATCTAGAACGCAAAAGAGCTTTCATGGGTCGCCCAAAGTCCAGCAGGATTAGAATAGAGATAAACATTAGAGAACAACATAATCGTGTAAAAAATTGTTCCTATTGTCACACTCCTGGTCATGCCTTACTGTAAATCTCCCAGCGGATCATGCGAGAAAGGGATATGGACTTTTTGAAACTTGCTGCAATCATACCACATTTCATTTAGCCTTATTGTAAATTTCTCAGTGGGTCAAACTTCTCTCGGATGTTGCGTTTCTTCCAACTTTGTGGCCAAATCTAGAACACAAAAGAACTTTCAAGGGTCGGCCAAAGTCCAGCAAGAATAAAACAGAGATGGACATTAGAGAATAACATAATTGTGTAAAAAATTGTTCTTATTGTCACAGTCACGCTACCATTGATCTTTATTGTTATAATGAATTTTAATAAATTTATTTAGTTATATTTATAATGTTAATATTCAATAAATTTAATCACTTGATGGTAGTCTCTGAGTTTTGGTATTTGATAAGTGAAAATCGAAAAAAAAAGCCTGAATCTGTAGGCCAAAACGGCCCGTTCCAGATTCAGAATGGTCCGTTCTAGTTTCACTTTTTTATGTGCATTTTTTGAATCCAGAACGGCCCGTTCTGATCCATTCGTGTTATTTTTTTAATCTGGAACGGCCCGTTCTAGAATCAGAACGACCCGTTCTAGAACGTGAACAGTAAAAGTGCTACTTAAAAAAATAAATTTACGCGATTGTTATTTGGATAAATATTTTTTAAAATAGTATTATTTGAGTAAAACAATTTTTTCTTCAATTTTCATTTTCCTTCCGCTGAAAATCCAGTCGAAGTTGGAGTCGCTTACTGACTCAGAAAATCAGACAAGAGTGACGTGTTGGAGTCAGTTATTTCAAGTATCAACAAAATCTAAGCAATAAACGGTGCAATCTGACCCTCTTCACTTTGTGGCCATGGCTTCTCTCACGTGCATTTCGAACCGCTGCTTCAGCCATTCCTTCTCGCCAATCCGGGTTCACTACGCACACTCTCTTCGAACCGCTCCTCCACGCGCAATGGCCAAGCCCGGTTTCTCGCCGGCTAAAGACCAAGTCGCTTCTCGTAAGTTCTACGCTCCGCATACCGAACTCTTCCGCTTTTGCTTAAACTTCAAACCTTAGTTTCTCTTACTCTCTCTCTCTTTCTCTCTCTCTGTTTATTTTGAAGCTGGCGATTTTGAATTTGTGCCACCTCTGAAAATTTTGGAGTATCCAGACCCGAAATTGAGGGCCAGAAACAAGCGCATAGTGACCTTCGATGATAGTCTCAACAAGCTTGTCCACGAGATGTTTGATGTGATGTACAAGTAAGCTTTCTCCATCTTTAGGTGTTAGCAATGTTTGAGTAGAAATTATGGGGAACTTATGTTTTTTTTTTCGTTGAATTAGTAATGAAATGTGGCATTAGCAGTTTTTGTGTTTAAGGGCATGGTTGGTTCGCCCCTGTTCATTTTATTGGATGTAACTCCAAGGGAAATCATGCCATTTGTTTAATGTTTGGGTTTGGTTCATTTTAGTGCTTGTTTGAATTTGGATTTAGTTTATTTCGAAGGAAGGCTTGCATCTTTTTCTTTTTCTCTTTATTTTTAAAAGCTCGGTTGCGTAGATTTTGATTATAAACTATTTTGAATACAGAATAAGCTAATGCAAATAAAAACTTATCTAATCCTGAAAATAAGTCTTTTTCAATAATGTTTTCTTACAAAATAAGAGGGGTCTTTTTGTAAGAAATATGTATCATATTTTAAATTTGTGGCCAGTTTGCTCATTCCAAACTCTGTAGTTTGCTTCAGGGCTTTTGGCTAAAAAAACCAAGTAATGTTACACATACAATTAAATTGTACACCATTACTTTTGTGCCTATTTTTCTACATCATTTCATTTATTATGGAGAGAGGTATTATTAATGATGAAAATATAGGCACAAAAGTAATGTTGTTCAAGTTGTTGGACAATTTTTTTTTTTTTTTACATATGACATTACTCTAAAAGTCCCTATACTAAGTTCGAGGAAAAAGTCCGTTTAATTTGGAACTCGACATGCAATGTAGTTTTATTATATTGAATATATGTAAGTTATATTAATGGATATGTTAATATTATCAATATTGTAATTCAAATAGCACCTTTGAAATTTACTGAATGTTAACAATATTGGTTGGCTTCCTTTTCCACAGAACTGATGGTATTGGTCTCTCAGCACCCCAAGTGGGAATTAATCTTCGACTTATGGTATTCAATCCAGTAGGTGAACGTGGTGAAGGAGAGGAAATTGTTCTTGTAAACCCAAGAGTTAGCAAATACTCAAAGAAACTGACACTGTTCAATGAAGGTTGCCTATCTTTCCCTGGAATTAATGCTGACGTAAAGGTATCAAACACAATTTTTTTCCCATCATTCTTTTGACATTGGCTTTCCTTTTAGGCTATTCTGTGTAGAACTATAGCTAGCCTCTTTTGGACCTTAGTTTAAAAAGTTTCCCTTATATATTTTAAGTTTTCCTTATTCATACTAGTGATGTTTCCTCCTATGAACTTGGAAAATGTTGGTCCCTTATTTTGATTTCCTCTAATTATCGCAGTTCCTCTTGCCAAACAAAGATTTAATGATTTCATTTGGTGCATGTAATTACTTTGGGCTAAAGAATAGGATGGATTTATTGTTATTTTTGAGAAGATCAGTTTGTATGAGTTCTCTAATTGTTCCTTTGTAAATGGAGCTGCCTCAGAATTTGATGATTTCTCTTTAGTCTCCTCAGATGTGGTCCGAAAAGTGCTGCTTTTTCTTCTTTATTTCTTAACTTCGCCAGTTTCCCATGGATTTTCCAGATAGTCTCCGTTTTAGGCCATGGCCTTTTACAGTGCTCACACCATGATTTCTTGCATTTATACCCATGAGCAATACCTGTTCGTCACAAGAGCTGATCTTTCTATTTTTGGTCTTGCATAATCCTTCTTCTTGATTTATGTCTAACTTAAGATAAGACTTATTGGATGGGAGGGTAACAGTTTGCAAACCAGTAACCTTCCTTGTACCTTGTCCAAGCTTCGATTAAGAGCATTGAGGAACATGTATGATTCGATTATACTCTTCCCCCTTTTTAAACTGAGCTGCAGCCTCACCCTTGGGATTTTCCCAATCATTCTCATAAAACTAATCCAGTTCTTGCTAGAGTCACCATCACACTGCAATAAGTAGTGCTTGCCATGATACACAATGATTTGTCACTAGTTGGTGCATGTTTCTTGGACCTACACTAATCTCTTGGAAGAAGAAAAAGCAGTCTCACAGATGCTTAAATAAGGAAATAACAATAATAAAGAAATACGGAAACAAAATAATAAAGAAATGGGGAAACAAATATCTAAAGATATTTAGAGATGTTCTAAATCTTCTAAGTATCTATGATAATGATATTTACAACACTATTTATATTTGTAATAACTTGGATACAGTGGAATAAGAGGTATCTAGAGATTTGTACATATGAGATTGTGCAGTTGATGATGACTTAAAGGAATTAACTAGTGCTATCCATACCAACAAGATGCATCTACTTTTTAGTAGCTCATCACTAAAGAAATCCATAGTAAAGTGTGATTAGCTTGGAGTAATTTAGGGATGAGTGACCTTCTAGGAAGTTTCCTAGAAAGTGTGAGTGAGGAAAAAACATGTTAAAAACTGTGTTGGTTTGTGGAGTCAGTTGTTGATTCTAAAGACAAACAAGCATCACAAAAAGGGGCTACTCATAGAGGGTTCTGACTAGTGAAAGATTCTGACTAACGAGAAGTTGAGTAAAGTGCATGTGAAGTGTCATAGAGTGAAATTGTTACGTCAAATCTAAAGTGTTACAATACACAATTTTCATTTTTTATTCATTACAAAATATATTAAAGAAAAAGGTACGGTAAGGTCTATTTCCCATCTAGCATAGGATAAAGAAAAGAAAACAAAACAAGTTTTCTTTTAACCTAGGAGTTAGATGTATAGGATAAATCCTCTAAATATATAGGTTATATTTAATTATATCTCTTAACTAACTCAGTCTTTGGAAAATTTAACTAATTATAAATAATTAAGATTTATATTAAAAACTTTTTTCATCTATTAATTTTATCACAGTTTCAATTTCAACTTTTTCCTTCCATTTTCGATTATTGTCTACTTTCTTTTTTAATTTGACTTTGGAAAATGAGTTTTATTTTAAAATTAATTTCTCTTAATTTAATGATTTATATATATATA